GTGTTCGGTCGCGCTAATCCTCTGCCGCGCCTACCGCCGGTATAGACGCGCCCCGGCGACCCCGGGCAGCGACCCTGTTCATTATAATTATTCATCTGTTTGCCATTGCCCCTTTAGCCGCGTAGGTTTTATTTATGTACCGCCTTCCCTGAGCTATAACACTGTTTACTTATATACATGGGCAAAGCCGCAGGAAGCAACTAGTTAGCAATATTTATGCTTTATTTATTTATTTATTACTATAGTTGCATTGCACATTATGATAATATATTTTGCAAAAAAAAAAAAACAACAACACAACATGCATCTTGTCAGGTATAGCAACCTAAGGAAAGAGGAAGATATTATATGCTTAGATGCTAATTATGTTTTTATTTTGTAAACATATTTTTATGCTTATTTGATGAAGCACCGTTTTGAATGTCATGTACCATTTTGAATCTAATTATAGAAACTTAAAATATTATAATTAATAAATTTGTACAATTTATTATGAGTACAGATTGTAGCTACCTTATTAAAACATGCATTTGATGAGAACAATTTTCCAAACAGAAAAGGGATAATAGGATTACTTGCAGATAATTCCGTAATAAAATATTTTTATAATTACATTTCAAAATAAACTTCGTCCATTGTAATAAATGAGATATAAATTCAAATCAATTTAATTTATTATCAGATTATAAGCTTGCATAATTGGAGTTTTCAACGAAGCGAATTATTCATGTTCCCTGGGGCTTTTGTATTATGATTGCAACCCAGTATCTAAATATTAATATGCTCGTATTAAGCAGATTAAATTTACAGTAATAACGAACATAACGAATTTTATTCAGCATTATTATTATACATAATCATAATATCGTCTTTCCATCAAGTGGGCTCTCAGATTGTTTGTCATTCTAATTATCATACAAAAAAAGGCAATAAAATTACTCGTTACAAAAATATTCAGGCATATTTTAAAGTTTATGAGGGGACAGATAATATTAAATTTTAACTAAAATAAGGAATCTTTATTTTTTATTTGATTTAATTATATTCTACGTTATTTTCTTTTTATTGTAATGAGCATTCTTCTTATTTATTCAAATGTAAATGATGTAAATATAGATAAATACCGTAAAATTGAGCAATTACGTGCTTCAAGTGATGTGAAAATTGCACAAGATTCTGATGTCACATTGTAAGACTAGTATGTAGTTATACTTCACATTATTTGTATGACAAAAAACTTGTGTAATTATGCCTTTTGAAATCTTTGTTATTTTATAATACCATTATTGGTTCTTAAAATGATATACAATACAATCATGATTATCCAAATATTCGATTATCCGGACTTTATTCTTCACGGCTCTAATTACCAATTTAGAAATGGAACTATGCATTAAATGGGAAAAAAGATATTACGTGACTCCTTACTTTTATAGCTTGTAATTTTTTATATATCATATTAGCTAAATGACGTATGTTAATAATACAAAAATATTAAAATCTATAATAAAAAAAAATATTAAAATTTCATTGTGTTTGACTGACTTTGAAATCCATTTTCCGGATTTTCGATTATACGCATTACCCCTGGTTTTATTTGATTCGGATAATCGATATTCTACTATATAAACATAATTTCTTGAAGTCTTTATATTATTTTAAGAAATTTTCAATTCCATGTAACAGAAAATTTCAAATACATTTTTTTTTTTCTAAATAAAACCCGAAAGTCTCCCCCAGATAGCATTTAAGAACCTCTATAAATGTTATTCAGGGTTAAAGGTCATTGTAAATGGTTACATTTAGATACAGAAGAAACAGTAATTATTTAGCTTTGTGACTTAGAAAATATAGTATAAAAAATAAGTAATTTGTCGTTCATTCCCGCAGGCATTACCGAAAATTCTTTCGCCTGATAAAAAGGGTTAAGGAAACCTAATTTAAGTTTCTAGATCCAAAAATTTTGTAGATTAAAAAAAAAAAATTTAATAGGCTCATCAAAGACAAGATTGTCACAAATAATTCACCGTTATCTTACTTTCAATGATACTTTTAATGAAAGAAAGAAAAAAAAACTTTTATTCAAGTAAACTTAGATTTAAGCATTTTTGATTAGAAATTTTTTTTTCATTACCGCCCATTCAAACGCAATTTTAGCCAGTAAGAACGGGCAATTAATTATATTAATGAATTTGTTTGAATACAAACTATTAAGCAGTGTCAGGCCATAGAATTTAAAATAAATATTACCATATATAATTAAAACAAATTAATAAAGTAATAAATAACAATATTTTATTATCATATGATTAACTTTTCATATGAGCAGATAGATATAATAAGTTGTGATGAATTAGTTTCTCATTACGTAGATGTCCAAATTTGAGAAGCAAACATATATGTAGTATCTTAATTAATAATTAAGTATTGCCAAAATATTAAAATTCATTATCATTAATATTAGGCTTTATTAAACTGTCCTTTATAGTTATATAATGCATATGCCAGAGGTTTGGTTATTGTTCGGCCGTAACTGAAATTAATATTGGACAAGGATTACGAGGCAAAACGCGAGTAAGTAATTATGGGAAGTAATATTGCCGTAATAGTAACAAACGATTTAATAGACTAGTATAATAAATAGTTGTCATTAAACACACATACACACATTCACATTTACAGAGATACTTTTATACAAATTTACTTACACAAGTATTTCTTCTCAATATTCTTCAATATTCTTTTTGTAAGCATTTTGCTTGCATGTTGTGCACCATTTTGAAGGTACGTATGGCACATATGGTACATATGGCAACGACGACAACAAAATTACTGGGTTATGTGATTTTAATTCCTCGTAACTGGTATTAAAAATAAGTGATGACCTTCGTGGCATAGTGGTGGATACATTTGCATAAATAAGGTCTCGGGTTCAATTCCTAGATTATTCAGGTTTCGAGCTTTTTTAAAAAGGAAACTACCTTGCACCAAACCAGCCCAAAACACCCAGGGCTGTGTTTCCAAATATTCGTTATTTGCTTCCACATAACACAGAGTATACTAGCTTAAGAACTGGGCAAACTATTGTGTATATACATAAAAAACAAATATGAAAAAATATCTGTTAATATAACAGGTATTTTTATTACAAAAAAATCCTTTTATTTTTAGTTTTACTAAGAAGTTATATCTACCTATAATTAACTTATACATTTATACGTGTTATATTTTTTTTATTCTTATGAATAAATAAATTAATGATATAAAAACCATTCATTGTTCACTGCTGTACATAGGCCATTCACATACAGTGCCATACACAATGGTTTATGTTGTAAGTCTATATCTAACTATCTGTTATAACACTTTACACAGAATATTATAAATATAATATCTATATAAAGTAACTATTAATTTTGTCATTCGGCAATAGATGTTTTTGTATTTTATGCACGAAAATTATTAATTCACTCTTGCGCCACTTGCCCTTTTCTATCTGTTCTCCTTTAACTAAAGGTTGTCTGTAAGAGATTGCCCTAGTGATAAGACCGCCTTTTGTACCTTAATGTGTATATTTCAATCTGTATATATGTTACTGTATTTCATTTGAATTATTCACTTGTCATTGTATATTTTTATTTATGGTGCAATAAAGAGTTAAATAAATAAATAGTCACCTAACATTGTTCGATTTTAGATGGCGTACATTTGTGGCGTGTATTTGAATAAAGGATATTGCATTAAGATATGAATCTTTATGCTATTATGATCTGAATATAGCATTACCAGCATGCTTTGCTTTTTCACATGTTCGCTAGAATGTAGATAATTGTATATCCGTATCTGTATCTTTTATGTCTGTACAAGTTCTTTGTTTAATAAAATAATTTTATGATATTCAATAAATAGTAATTACTTCGTTCATTTAGACTTTGTTTTTTAATATTGAAATATTATGTCCAGCTCCGATTCTAAATCCAAAGGAAGATCGAAAATTCGATGGACAGATTTTTTTAATAATTTTGTGTTATAAACAAGCAAATAATCCGTCTACTTGTAAAGCCAGAAACTAGAAATTATAATACGCTCTTTTTTAAGAATCCCTTGCTGCAATTTCTAGGGATACTCTGATGTAATTAGAAAGATCCTACAATATTTCCGAGATCGACGTGTCCAATCGTACGGAGTGAGGGGATAAAATATGGAAAGCCATTACTGGACGGAACTAACTAGACAAGAGACACACACAATGGAGTCTATTCTGAGGAGGCATTTCTCTAAACTTATCTCTTAACCGAATTTCTTAATTTGGTAGTTTCGCAAAATTACCGTTTTATGGATTATCATATACAATATTTATAATAATTTTGACTTAAATCTATTAGAAATTTAGTTCAAATTGGTTCTTAGAATAAAGATTTCGCCGTGATATGAAATTTTAATTTGAGCTTAGATTTAGAGAAATGGCATCTCAGAATCGAACCTGCTATAGTATTTCAGTTACCAGATATTAAAATATTTACTACAAATTGATTAGGTTATACATGTTTTTTAAAACATCGCCCGATTGATTGTAAAAAATTCCCATGTCAATAATAGTAAAAACAGTCTAATTTATTTGATAGTGGCATGATAATTTTACTGCACGTTTATGCATCAAATCTGAGTAGGTTACACCCCGCATCTGTCTTCGATGACATCATTTCTGGGGAGTTTGTAAAAATGATTGAGCAAAGATCACATGGTTGTATTTAGTGGTCTCTATAACCATCCAATCACCACACGTGATTGGATGGTTATCTCTATAACAACCACTCTTGGTTGTAGTCACATGTATCATAAATATGTGGAAAAATAAAAAAAATACTATATATTTTAAACCGATTATTATCTTACGTCGGACTTAAAAGCCTGAGCAGATGAAGTAAACATAAAGAACGAAACGTTTGTCCACAGTGAAAACGTCTCTCGTATGCGCGGTCCGCTAAAATGCTACTCACATTTGATCGAGTCGGATTTGTGCGGCGACTTCTTGTCGCGCACCATGGCTGCGGGCGAGTGCGCGCTGTGTGGCCGACGCGGGCGCGCGCCGTAATACTATCGACCGCGACCCGCGCCGCCGCCGCTGAGCGCCACCGTATTCTCGTGGTTATGCCAGATTCCTAGAACAATTTCAGGTATTATTCTTAGTGGAACATTCTCTTTCCAATTGAGCGTCTCAAAAGGGGTATTATTATTTATAATATTTAATATATATACCACACATATTACTACACAATACTAACTTTACAAGTATATGATATATTCTTTAGCAATATAAAGGTTGTAAGCGTCTTAGTAATAAATATAAATGAAGCACAAGTTCACTTAGTTCATTTAATTTAGATATCATACTATTAACCCATATATTTACTTATTTTACTTTGTATTTGATATATAACAAATAATATAACATAAATACCCAACTTCTCTTTATCCATTGATACATATTTAACTATAGCTTATTTAGGACTTCCATCGACAATAATTGTGATATATTTTATATAACGACCACGTGGTTTACTATACTTGTTCACTCTTATTTAAAAAAAAAATTAATAGTATTTAATATTTCAAACACAAAATTTAATGTAAAATGTCTAATTTCTTAAGTACTAACAAGTGAAATAGAATGTTTGAAACACGAATTAGAATGAAAATGAGGAAGGTCTGAATCTACTTAATTAAAATTAGTGAAAAGCTACAAGCCTACTTAATTCAGCATTTCATCAATTTGTAAGAAAGAAAATGTTCTAAATGCCAATAAATTAATTAAGTTATAGTATTTCGAGAACTAATGATATTTGAAGTTATCAAATAAATCGAAAATAAACCGAAATAAAAATATTTTAAATTCGCGGAGTATTCATAAAACAATTCGAATCGTTTGGTAGTTAATACTTTTCGGAAATACTTTATAAAAACATAGTCAATAATGCATGCCGTCTGAACTTTACTGAGTTACGATAAGACTCAACTTCGTACAAATATCTTCTATCAGTTATATCTTCGCTTCTATGTACTGAGAAGATATTTTCCTTTGAATAATATTTTTTGTTAAACTTTCTAAGCCCAAGACTTATTCAAAACAAAAGGCACTTATAAAGTATTTTATATTGAAAAGGAATTTTGTATTTTAATTTGTAGATAAAACTTTAGGAAATAAAATAAAGTCACGTGTGAATGTTAAAGACTTTTTGAACAGATTCGAGTTTCGGTTTTTTATTACAGAATAATGTAGTTTAGAAAAGCCAACCAAATTCAAAAGGTTGGAAGGGTTCCAAATTATCTCTTATATATACGGACGATTTTAATTGAGGACTTAATATTAGTTACACGACCTCCCCGACCCATGAGCCGTGAGGATTATTGGAGCGAGAGAATTCAATAACTTTCCGGAAAAATGATCAAAGCAATTTAGAGTATATTATATGGTTATACTGTACGAGGTTCAGGGAACCAGTAAATCGCAATAGTTGATACTATAGTATATATTTAATACTCTATGATATACTAGAAATTAGATTGATAAGTCTAGACATGGATGAATTTAATGGTAACTCAAATGTAGAGATAACATAATAACTTTAGATATTTTACAACCAACTTCAAAAAGAAGGAGGTTCTTAATTCGGTTGATTTTTTATGAAACTCTGCCAGTTTAAACCAATTTAGAAAATTTTTACAAAATTGAATCAGCAGTTTTTAAATGAAAACAACTGGAATTATTACAAATGAAGTCTTTTTTGTAGAACACAATCTTAAATTATATGAAATAGGCCGATAGGTTGGAACAATAATCGATATCATACATTTGAGGAAATACTCAATTAGAAAAACTGATTTAGAAAACTTTTACAAAATCGAATCAGTAATTTTTAAATAAAAATAACTGGTTTTATTACAAATGAAGTCTTTTTTTGTGGAACACAATCTTAAATTATATGAAATAGGCCGATAGGTTGGAACAATAATCGTTATCATACATTTGAGGAGTTCTTTGTATCTATAATAAATGTACTAGTATAATCTTTTGGAGGAAACAATAAAGAGTATCTATCTATCTATATGACAGAATAACATACGCCTCACGCTACCGCCTAAGTCGCAGTGCATGATACGTTTTGATGCGACATTTTAATCCTCTCCCTTGACGTCAATCCAGCCATAGGACATAGTCCGTTTGATAGATTGCAATCTGTGTAACGAATAGGGTATCAAGAGAAATAGGTCTAAGACTGCATCTTACTTATACACCTATCCCCAGATTTACACGGTAGATACGTTCCTGAGAAAAACGTGTAAATCGAAAATTAAAAATTTTCAAGTCAAAACCGTGTAAATCGAAAAGCTTGCAGAAAATGCATAATTTTGCTATTTAACAGTTGTGATTTTTTTCAATATTTTTAGGTGTACACAGAAATAAAAATAAAATGCATTGACAGGTTAAAATATGTAATATATTACGGAAACACTGTTTTTTTATTTAATTACATTACATTAAACGATCCAAAGCGATCCAAAATTTCGATTTTAGTTTCTAAAGAAATAACTTGTCTTTTAACTTCTTTCGACATTATAAGCCTATATTTTTTTTTATTTATGTTAATTTATAAAAATCTTAATTATGCACTCACTTGTAATTTACGAATATGAAAAATTAAATCTTTCTGACATTGAAACTTTCACTCAAATACAATTTTCCGTAGATAAAACTTTAATTTTATGCGAAGAAATACAGACACAGTGTGCATGTGCAGCAAGTCAGCACATAAGCTCGGGATTCCCCGTGAGATGTGTACACAGCGCACGTGTTCAAATACAGTAGCATTTAGTAGAGTGTGATAAAAACAAAAAAAAAAAACTTATTTGGAAAACCGTGTAAAAGCGAAAACGTGTAAAACAAGTACCGTGTAAATCGGGGGATAGGTGTAATCCTTTTTATTATTTTCCATTATTATAACATATAACGCTGCGAGATCTTATCAAATAAAACAATGTGGTATTTACTGTGTGATAATTTTCAAAAATTATAAGATGTAACATAATAGTAATTAAAATATGGAAATTTATTGTAACGTCTTTTTACAACTGTAATCTTAATGACTTAACTCTGTTAAATGAAATGATGAATATACTCGTAAAATGTTTATGTGAAATAATCGAATATTTCATTATAAGATTATTATGTTAATGATTATAAGAGTTGTAAAAATATAGATGATGTATTTCCAGTTGTTAAGAATAGAATATTTTTGAATTATGCTCAAAATAAGGCTGCATTTTATAATTTATCTAAACTTTGCTCATACACTGATATAGGCGACATAAAGGCAAATACTGACGATCCTCAAAGATATTTCACATCTGTCCATAATTACGAAAATATTTTTTTACCTCCTCCATTTCTTTTTATTTTTATTATCATCATCATTATCATATCTACCATTATCTGTCTACAGCTAAATATAGGTCTTCCCCATTGACTGCAATAAGGTATTATTCCGAGCTAAATCTATTTATTTTCTTTACCTTTATTGTTGTCTATATCTAAATTTCCATATATATCCATTTTCATAAATTGTAAATAAATAAAAACTTAAATTAGGCATATACTGGAAATAAAAAACAGAATACTATAAAATAAAATTTATTTATTATTATAATTTCAATTATTAACTTTTACAATAACCTTATTCACCAGCTTTGGTTGTTGCCATATGCTCCATATCCGTTATTTCCGTATGCTGGTGCTCCATATCCTTTATTTCCATATACTGATGCCCCATATGCATTATTTCCGTATAATGATGCTCCATAACCGTTATTTCCATATAATGGTGCTCCATGTCCGTTATTTCCGTATAATGACGCTCCATATCCGTTATTTCCGTATACTGGTGCTCCATATCCATTATTTCCGTATATTGGTGCTCCATATCCGTTATTTCCATATACTGATGCTCCATAACCTTTATTTCCATATAATGATGCTCCATAACCATTATTTCCATATAATGGTGCTCCATATCCTTTATTTCCGTATAATGATGCTCCATATCCATTATTTCCGTATACTGGTGCTCCATATCCGTTATTTCCGTACATTGATGCTCCATATCCGTTATTTCCGTACACGGATGCTCCATAATCAAGAGGACTTCTATACATGTTGGAGTAGGACGTTGCAACATTTTGGTAACCATTGACATTACCATTATAAGCATTGGCACCAGCATAAGGATATTTAGATAAATTCCCGTAACCAGCTGCAGTTCCATAGGGATACCCAACTGCACCATTGTATGCATTAAGATTTTGACCATTAACACCACCATAAGCAGCAGCAGCTGCATTGGCATAAGGTAAACCTGTAGTGCCAGCATAACCAACGCCGGGATAAGGTAGTCTAGTACCAGCGTTTGAATAAGGAACGCCAGCGTTGTAAGGTAAATGAGATGCAGCGCCGGGATAGTTTGTCGGATTGTAGATAGCTCCAGGGTTCTGAACACCTAATCCATTGTAACCGGGAGCTACTCCATAACCGGCGGCAATATTGCTACCATAGGCTTCTGAGGTTCCATATCGTCCTAAATTTTGAAGTGCGGCTTGGTTCTGAACTGCTCCTGAGTAAACAACACTTATAAAGCAGGAAATTATTATTATCTGGAATTAGAAAAATAACGAATTATTATTTTTATGTCTTATAAATTTTATTTATAGTATTTATGTATTCCTTATTGCACAATATAATTTGTACAAATGGTGAGCTTAATGCCGTCTACTAGATAACCATTAGATAAAAACAGAAAACTGCCGTTAATTATCCACTGCTGAACATAGATCTCTAGATAGGTTTTGCTAGTAGTTGCTACGTTTGGCAGGTGGATTGGCAACCGCAGTTAGGCTTTAGAGATGTTTTAAGAGAGATGTTACTACCTATCCCACGCCCTCCCTTAGTCGCCTCTTACGAAACCTACGGGAAAAGAAGAGGTGGCCCATTCTATGCCAGAATCATGATATATATGAGTATTATGTCTTGAAATTATGTTTATCTGAGAGATAATATATTAATATTATTAAATATATTTACCTTAGTAAACATGGTCGTGCCTTTTTCGTGTACTGACCTGAAGACTGATCAATTGAATTAATTTACAATAAGCTTACCTGCTTTTATATATATCATACTTGTTGAAACATCAAGGTCGTGTGAGAATTTAAAAGAAAACGGAGCGTGACTGATAGGTGTGTAATAGAAAAATTTGTGTAAATATTATAATTTCATGTTAATGATGAATATTAACCCAATTGTAATTGGTAGTTTGAGATCATTGTAAGTTTACTATTCAAAAAAAAAATTCATTACGTAAAGTAATGCTAAAAAAATATAGTAAACATTACAGTGTTTCTTTTTTCCCTTTAATTACTCGGTAAGTAAAGGGTACGACAAAATTCAAAGCCCAGTATTAAAGAACCAAGGAACGATCCCCAAGAAGAATGTATTTTTACTTATATTCTACTTCTTATTGTATGCTCGCTCGTAATAAATGCTGCTTTCCACTGAAGGTTTGCTGGAAGAGAACTTTTACAGAGTTAAGCTCGCCTATTGTACATCTTTATATTACTTAAATTATAACAATGTACATTTAGTGTACAATAAAGTATAAATAATTGTTAATTGTTATAATGTCGATAATTTTTACTATCGATTAGGTATTTATAATAAACGATTAGTTTATTTAGTGCGGAAAAGGAGTCCAATTTACATTTACAATATATGGTGAATGCCATTTGATATTTCAGAGCTATAATGCTTTATTATAGCAATTACTTTGCAATTAATATAGTAAAATGAGAATACCTTAGAAATAATAAACATTACTTGTTCCTCAACTGCTCAGCTCTTAAGAACATTATTATTTCTAAGTTAGTTAAGTCTCACCTCCGTTAACTACAGAACATCTATCAAAGTTTATCTCGTCTCGGCAAGCGACGCCTAGCTTCCCAGTACTGTACACATAGTAATGTAATTTTATAGACTATTACTACTACGTGTAAACCAAATTTCATGATGTTGTTTGAAACGAGGAACAAACAGACGCACCTTCGTATTTTTAATATATTAAGGACAAAAAAATTAATATAAGTAAAAATAATCCTGTATCTATATGGTATACAGATGTATAATATAATGCTACGAAATAAAGATAAAAGTCATCTTCACGAATCTGCAGCTCTGTGTAGTGACGTAGAAAGAATAGAATGTATCATTACATCTGTTTATCCCCAGGATGTTATCATAAATATAGAATAAAGCACAATACTCTAGTGCAAAAGAAGAAAAAATCTTTATAATACCCACCTAGTTACTACAGTAATGTATGTAGGTCATCAATATTCTTCTTTTAGGAGGAGATGCCTATCCTGTAGTGTATTAATCCGAGCTTTATATACTTTAGAAAATAAAATATCATACATACTGCCTGGAACGAGATGTCCACACATTTTATACTTTAGTGGTACGATTAAGAAGAAGAGGTAAGTATTACTGCCACAGTATAAGCTGTTGATTAAACCTTATGACATGAACTAAATGATTACAAGAAAATACTGGTTGCATTAATTTGGTTAGAGATATCCATAATGCTTTAGATTGTGTCACTATGTTTTATACTAGATTATTTTTACGTTCTCATTTAAGTCGATCTCAAAACTCTATAACTAATTAAATTAAACAACAAAGTCTGTAAAGTCACCTTTATTTGAAACTTCATCGCTTGAGCTGCTTTAAAGTGTTTTTAAAAGCATCTAAAGAGCGCTCACTACTTTAAGCAGATATTGAAGATTTCGAGTCCATAATGTCTACCGACGAGCTCGCTAAGTCGCGCAGGATGTCGGAAGCGGAACATTGATCAGTATTTATCTAATCTCGACGAAGCACAGCCACTGCCTCGCACTATATGAGCTTTACTTGGGGTTAGTTTACACTGCATGTGTGACCAATACTTATCATAAATATCTTAAATATTTTTATACTGAACATACGCTGTTTTATAATTGTGGACCGATAAGGGTCTGAGCTGTTTTAATATAGTAATTATGTTACAAACAGGTGTTAGAGTAGTATTAGCTGATTGATTATGCTAAAAATCTTATCGATGATTGTAGTAGCAAGTATATTTTACAACATATAAATAACTACACATGGAGTCTTGTTAGTTTTGTGAAGATTTCAAATTTCATCATATTAAGTGGCACGAAAGATATATAAAATCTTCAAAAACGCAATTTTCTTGGAGTGACAAAACACCTAATTTCATGTGACGGATGCCTTCCAAACTCATTTTATGAACAGGCTAAAGTTAAAAGAATTTTCTTTGTAAATTACATTTTGCGAAATAATGCTGAAAATATGCCTGAGAATATAAATAATAGAAATGCCATTGAAATCTACTCGTACTTCTTAAAGTCGATTTTAACTCTGCGAGTTCAGTCAATTCATACGTTTTGTATGTACTACTCGTATTTTCAATATATTATTTTGATAATCTGTATCATTACAGCTCCTAAACAGAAGAATCTATTTCTGTGCATATTTTTATTTAAAAAATACTGATTACATAGTTCAATACCATAACTATCCCGAATATAGCTTTTAGCTTATATTTAGTTCCACCAAATCAGCAGTTACGATCAAAGGCATCTTTTATGATGAAACAAATACTATAGTTTTTTTTTAAAAGGTGATAATGGATTGGTAACCTCGCCTGCGCTATCGGTATACGCTGGCGGGGTACCAGTGAGAGATAATAGGTGACGATGAAAGCAGAACAGTTAGCCCATCGTGACGAATTCCACTAGAATTAACCACGATGGTTTCCAGAGGGAAGGGCGTGGAGGTCAACCTGATCGGGTGTATTGCTGGCAATGGGTCAGTTAGACCCCATTACTAACAATCCTTTTCCCCCTGAAACACTATAGTTGAAACTTTGAATTTGAACTTGAAATGCTCACAAAAGTATAAAATCTTTATATACAGAATGTATGTATTCGAATAAAACCCAAAGCATCATAAATGAATTAAAATTTCAAAACTGTTACTTCTACTAGATTAACATAAACCAGTTGCTCAAACAACAGTCTTTAAAGAAATTAATATCACTACTTCAGTGTAACCTTAATATTTTTTTATGTTGCCCATATTTCTCCATTGCAGGCAGCTAAATCTTAATTATCAAAGGCTTAATGCGAAAGTGGAAAAAAGAAAAAAGGAAGTAACATAGGAGGGGTGAGTGCGAAACAACAGAGATGTTGTAAAAATATAATGAACAGAGTCTTTTTTATAATTCGCAAACTCAAGATTGTGCGGTGTTCTTGATGTCAAACGTTTATGTAAACATTAATGTTATATGAAATTGGATCAATTTAAATTCAGATAAGCATTGCTTCCACTTGCTTAACGATATCTGAACCAATTTTTTACTAATATAATTAAAAAAATATAATATAATAAAAATGTAACTGAACGATGTCTGTACATGGAAGATATTAAAAAAATATGTAAAGGTGTTTAATAAAAGTCGGAACAATAATTTTTAGAAACTTTGTCTGACTCTATATGTTTGTTTCTGTCTAGGTTCACGCAAATACTACTGCATCAAATGTTGTTTTCAGTGTTATGCTTCTAAAGAGTTAAAAAAGCTGTATTTGTATGTTTTATTTTGTTACGCCTATAAATAGTCTATTTCATTGGTTTTCCTACTTCGGAAATTCGCGCATACGAAGTAGCGGAAGCAAAGCTGGTACAGGATAAAATTGTTATATTGTCTTCTAGAAGGATCGACACCTTGCTTTGTTCTATTGTTAAAGCTAAAATTAGAAAAACTGTAGTTGTAGGGGTAAATAAATGAGTAATATTTATTTCATTAAAAAAAAGTATAAGTACTTACACAGTGTACCATCACTTTCTTCCAAGAGGATATAAATATTACAGCACGATTACGAAGATGAAGCACAGTATATCAATACTAGTACTACTACAATCTGTCCACTGCTGAACATAAACCTCTTCTACAGACTGTCAAAGGAACAGTCCTGAGCCACCTACATCCTCTGATCTCCTGCACTGAATTTGAGGTCGTCACTCCATCTACGGAAGGGGGGGGGGGGACACTCAAGAACCTTCGCATCGGTTGTCGGTTCTTCGAGTTTTGTCACAATGCCATTTCAGCTTGCTTATTTTTTGTGGATCCATTCAGATTCTGTCATGCAAAGAAACTTCGCATTGGATGCTAATTGCTAATACGAGTAACTTGTTAAACAGATGAATTTTCATTTTCTATCTTAGTAATGATTGTGTGATCCCGGCATAGAACAGGCCTCCCTTTTTTTTCTGTGGGTGTCGTAAAAGGCGACTAAGGGAGAATGAGGAATGGGCAGCAGCGTCCCTCTTAAAACATCTCTAAACTTTAACTGCGGTTGCCGATTTGGCTGACAAGTGTGACGACTACTGGCAAAACCCCCTAAGGGGAAGGCTTATGTTCAGAAGTGGACAGTTAAAGGCTGATATGATGATGACCTTTAGTATATAAAAATCCCGTGTCACGACGTTCGTTGACATTAATTTCCGAAACCGTTCAACTGATTTAAACGAAATATTTGTATAAACTTGGGAGACAGAGTAATTTTTATCTTAATTAGTGGCATATGACGGCAAAACAATGTTTGTAGTTAGCTAATAGATATACAAGAGAAACATATCAAAATATCATGTTATTGAGCGCTTCTAGCTGATATTCATCGCAGAAATCCAAATCGGACAATCCACAACACATCCATCCGCTTATTTTACAACAACACATTATGTTCTTATTTATTACTATAAATAAATTGCTTATCGGTATATGTCATAAGTCACCCGTTTCGCGAAAACCGTGTTATCTCAGGTAACTGACATAATTTTTGCCGTGATAGGCGCGCAACCCTCGTTACAGGCTGTGCCCTCGGCAATACATTCTCACTCCACGTTGAATGAGCCCATAAAACTATACATCTAAACTCGACCTTATTGCACTAGAATACAGCTCAATAAACCGCGATATT